AGCAGTATTTACATGGCAAACAGAATGAGGAAAGCCACCATCAAACAGAAGAGACCCATAGCCTCGGACAGGGCAAATCCCAAGATAGCATATGAGAACAACTGCTGCTTCAGAGATGGGTTCCTGCAGGAGAGAGAGAGAGAGAGAGAGAGAGAGAGAGAGAGGTCAGGGGTCACTCATCACCAGATCTCGGTTTAGGAACACTGCTTTGTCATGGAAAAAGAGAGATCAGCTAACAACAGTGTGATGCATGACAGGGGTTAAATTTGCTCAAGCTGAACTACATAAACTCAATATTTCACATAATACTACACTTGCATTGCTGCAATATTAACAAGCTCAGTTCTTAAACTTAATTTTAAAATATATAAACTATAGAATAAATATAAAAACACCAAAATTTAAGTAAAGCTATAGTTTATGAGACACTACCATATGGAAAGATCTGGAAATTAATTGTTTCATGTACAACAAGTGATGGCAACAAGATTGTGATTATTTTCATGGATGTTGGTCTAGTCGACCTGGCATATCCAATAATGAGGCTGCCGAACACTGTTCCGATTCCAGCTCCTGAACCTGCCACTCCCACAGTGGCGGCACCAGCACCGATGAACTTGGCGGCTGTGTCGATATCACGGCTTATGGCGCTTGTCTGAAAACCCCGCACTGCAACCTGGGAAACGGCTGTCTGTGGCAGAAAGGCTGGGCTGGCCTTACGAAAAAAAGATAACGTTCAAAATGAATGAACTGCACCTACCATCACTTGACAAAAAGAAATCGCTTTGTAGATTGCAACAAGCTTATAAAGCAAGTAAATGCATATAACAAAGGACTGAATCTTAAGATGATTTATAAAGAAGTCCTTGCTTAAGAAAAAGGCTTTTCAGAGAAAAATAACTACTAAAAGGGCATTAAAGATTTAAAACAGCAAGTAAGTGCCACTGATCTTAAACTTGGCATATGAAAGTGACGTGTGGCCAAGTATGGTGTCCCATACACTCACACAACGTGAACACACACCCAGAGCAGTGGGCAGACACTTTTGCTGCGGCGCCCGGGGAGCAGTTGGGGGTTCGGTGCCTTGCTCAAGGGTCTCACCTCAGTCGTGGTATTGAAGATGGAAGAGAGCGCTGTACATTCACTCCCTCCACCTACAATCCCGAGACCTTTGAGTTACAAGTCCGACTCTCTAACCATTAGGCCATATGCATAAGGCACTCACCTCTGCAGAGCTGACATCTGGCCTGGAGAGCACAGAGGCAGAGAGTGGTCTGCACAGCGCCCTTGAGGCAGAGCGGACCTGAGACAGAGATCACATTAGCACATAAGACGTACAATTAAAGTGCTGTACTTAAGACTGACACACACATACGTGGGAGGTGCCTTTTGTCCAGAAAATCTATTAAATATTTGCTACAATCAGAAATTACACTGACGGAACATTTATCAAATCACACTCCAAATGTCAACTGAACAAATAATTACATTTATAATTAAATTATTAAAAGGACTGTGGCTAGTCCAGTACAAAAAGACAGCAACAAAGCAGAACATAACACCCGCAGCCTTGAACAACCATCACTACTACATTTGACCCTTTAGCTCAAGTGTGATTCATTTTAAAAGAATGAAGCCTATGAAACATTATGTTTTGCTGTCAGATTTTTATAATGACCTTGACTTCCCTTTAATCGGCGTTCAGATGATAGCATTAGCAACCAGCTGCTGCCATTGACATCTTAGCCACAATGACATACACACAAACAAATTCTGAAGCAGTATTTTTTGCAATATGCCATCCAAACAACCCATCTGAAATGCACTGCATCAACATGGGGGAAAAGTCAAGAGCACCAGGCCTCTTGCATTTTAAGGAAACATCATTCTCGGAGCTTTTCCATTCTGTCGTAACTGCAGAAACCGCTATAAATACTCACCAGTGCGGGTGTGGACACGAACTTCGCACAGGCGTACATGTTTGATCGAGCTCGCTGACTGTGGTGAGGAATAAACCCGCGTCTGTCTCTACGGAAAAAGCCGACAGCTTGAGGTCAATGCAATATCAGCGCTTTCAAAACGCCACCTGGTACTAAATAGCTCCTTTTGCAAGGGCTATATAATCTGTAGAACATGAAAAGGATCGAGTGATTTGATTAAATATATCTATAGTGTAATGATGGTATAAGATTATGACAATATAGCTCCTCCGGTTCTCATTTAACTCTCCTTCACTTACCCGGCTGCAGAGGTCGAACCGCTGAGAAGCTACTGCGCATGCCCGACCCTCTATTCAATGAAGCTCCCGGATGCATGAATTGACGCGTCTTCTTCTCATACCAGATTTTAAATAAGGTTTTGAATCATCTGTGAACTGAGACAGAATGTTTATAAGAGCTTTCTTAACTCCTACTTGAGTCAAAAAGAAAAGTAAAACAAATCATTTATTTTCAAAAAAAAAAAAAGTCTTCCTTCTTCTTCTTCTTCTTCTTATGATATTTAATGGCGGCTGGCAATCCAGCTTTTGGTGCATATTCCGCCCCCTACTGGGATGGAGTGTGAGGCGATGACATCAAGGGAAATGCTAATTAAAAAAAAAAAAACATCTACCTATATTTTATTATATACATTTGTTCTTTTCAGAAATTTAATAAGAGCTTTATAACCTTTATGCGAACTGTTTAACACATTCTGCAATGTCATATAATGAATGCCGGCAGATTTTATTTCCTCTTTATACGCTAATATTAGTCTGTTTCTCTCTTATTCCGAGGTCACCGTAGCCACCAGATCCAGTCTGTATCCAGATCAGATGGTCACTGCAGTCACCCGGATCCAGTACGTATTCAGACCAGATGGTGGATCAGCACCTAGAAAGGACCTCTACAGCCCTGAAAGACAGTGGAGACCAGGACGACTAGATGAGCCCCAGATACAGATCCCCTGTAAAGACCTGGTCTCAGACGACCACGGGAACCAGATGAGTCCTCTGCACAATGTGACTTTGCTGCAGCCTGGAATTGAACTGCTGGTTTCGTCTGGTCAGAGGAGAACTGGCCCCCCGACTGAGCCTGGTTTCTCCCAAGGTTTTTTCTCCATTCTGTCACCGATGGAGTTTTGGTTCCTTGCCGCTGTCACCTCTGGCTTGCTTAGTTGGGGACACTTCATTTCCAGCGATATCGTTGACTTGATTGTAAATGATTGCAAAGATACTATTTAAACTGAACTGAGCTGGATGATGACGTCCCTGAATTCAGTCTTTAACTGAAAAATTAGTGTTTGCTATTGTCATTTTGCATTATTGACACACTATTTTCCTAATTAATGCTGTTCAGTTGCTTTGGCACAATCTGTATTGTTAAAAGCGTTATATAAATAAAGGTGACTTGACTTGACTTGACTTTTAACTGTGTTCTTTCCCTTTCATATGCCCTACAGTTAATCAGCACACGCTCTACAGTTTCTGGAAGTCCACAATGATTACAATGACCAGATTCATGTCTTCCTATCATCTGGAGTGATTTATTAAGAGTAGAGTGTCCAATTCTCAATCGCGATATAACTGTATCATCCCTGCTGTTACCATAAGCAGTTCTTACATGTCCTACTTGTTTATTTATATTATACAAATGTCGCCCTTTGTTATCTTTATCCCATCTCTCTTGCCATATCTTTCTGACAGCTACTTTAATTAAACCTTTAATTTCAGATTTACTCAAGGGTATATGTATCGCTTGAAGGTCATTCAATGGTGCTTTATTTAAAACTGCGCTGAGGGCAAAGACAACGTAAAACTTTACTGCGTTTTTACACTTTTAACAGAATATATAAGTAAAATGACTGAACAAGCAGATAAAATATATAATAAAATAAGGTCAAATAGATTGCTGTAGCACACAGACAACTTATGTAAATTAAAAAGGCCTATACAACACAGATCAAATACAATACTTAGCCTAGTACTTCAGTCCTGGTCATTGTTTTCATACTTATTAATAGGTTACTTGGGATACGCAATTATATAAAACATGACTGGGACCATGAGAGAATTCCTACAGTTCTGTACAAATATTTCATGTCAAAATACATATTTTTGGGGTCATATTACATTTGCTGGTTTGACATATTGAAGATATCTCAAAGAACACATCTAAGAAAATTATTTTAGGTTCTGTGAAATAACATGTTATCCTATCAAAGAACACAAGTGTTGTAAGGGGCTGCTGGTGTATCTGGTTTGGAACAACTGAAAATAAAGTAATTTACATTTTGATAAGATGAAAACTAATTGTAAATTTTTTTTGTGTTACTTCAATTGCTGTGTCAACATATGACAATAAAGGTTATCAGTAAAGTGTAAGTATTTATCTATTATGTATCATGCATGAAATATTTGCTTAGGCATGAGTATCAGAAACTTTCATTTAGCCTTTCTATATTGTGCTTCTTAATTCTTAATCACTTTGTTGCCTACCAAAGAAAAACTCACTTTTCATGATAATGCTGAAAGAACCATTCTTTAGAAAGATTTTTTATTGGATTTAACATGCACACAATCCAGTCTGTAAATGCAACAGACATGTGCACAACAACTTGCAAGTACAGACAAACAAGAACAAGTGGACACCTCCAGTTCCAAGCACATTAATTTTGTGTTTCTTATTGAGATAAGTCAATTCACAACGAACATGGAAATGAAATAACTAATGCAAAATGCAGAGACACAATTGATTACAAAATGATCATCATCACCCTTTTTTTAAAATATTTTTTTATTCATGAACCCTCTCTGGCATTAGTTGACTTGTAAAGCATAAACAGCAATGCAGAAAAAAACATCCTATGTATTATTTCTGACAAATTTTGCAATTTTGTAAACTGTGCAGTTAAAACCTAGACATATTCCTATCCAGAAAGTCACAAGACAGTTGAATTATACACAAATACGTAAACAAACTGTTGGCCACAAAAAACACAAGCAACTAAAACAATTCAAAACAAAAGAATAAATATTTAATACTCAAAATAGTGCATTTAGCACAAAAAAAAACCATCACTCCCCTACAAAGTCTATGCGTTTGTCAGTGTATTTTTGTTTAGCTTGCGGTTTCAAATAATTCTGTAAACACAAAGACAGATAAAATCTGTAAAATGTATCCTGTCCTTATTTACTACGCAACTGAATGCTAACACTGTAAAATGATACTATTCTTTTGTGAAATCACCCTCATAAACAAACCATGCACAGGTATTGTACTGGGTGACATCACCATTATGGGGCGCACCACACCATTAGCATTACAAACTGTAATGTGATATGATATTTAGCCCACTATATGTAAACACTGTGGTGCATATATAAACAAATTAGGAGTAAAAACTCTTAACAGCCTCCAGAATTACTAAGAAGTACTAAATGAACATGATTTAGGGTGAAGTTAAAACCAAACATCCCAAAAACCAAAAGCTGTAGTGAATGGCATTGATCATGCATGTTTAAACTGCATTTAAACAGTTTAGTTTGATTCATCCTCTTTCTGCTGTTGCCCCTGAGCTCCCGCCTCTTCCTTTTGGACATCCTCTGAGGGGGGCGGGCTCTGTTGAGACTGTGCCTCTTCTTCCTCTGATTCATGTGCAGCAGGTGGATTTTCAGTGGTAGGGTCCTGAGGCTCAGCAGTTGTAGTTCTTTCTATGTCATCTGCAAAATGAAATAATTAAAATAATTGCCACTGGGGATGTATACTGCTAAAAGCCATGGCACTGTTGTGCATGTGTGAGATTGTGTGCGTATTAGGCCTGTTATTGCATTAAATAATAAGAATAAAATTTGTGGTATTCTTCATTCAGTATGATAATGCATGTTTAAAAGAAGCACAACATGTATTATCAAGATTGTAAACAAGCCAATTAATAATTACAGGGGGAAAAAAAGGTTTAAGACAATGAGCCATGCACCTAAGGGTTTGGAAAAAAATCTGATTTTTTAAAGAGAGGTATTCAACATTTTAGACATTCAGTACCTAACTAAGCATCTGACCATCTCGCTAAAACTAATATTAATTTAGCAGATATTTTGCAAAAAGCATCTTTTTACTTGCTTTTTCATTTCTATAAAGATCAAAAAATACGCTGAATGTCAAAAATGCAGGATATTTCCCTTAAGACAGATATAAAACAGACATAACATTTCAAATTACATATTAGGAGACATTTAAGATTTACAGTCAGATAGATTTAAGATACGATAAGATTTACAGTCTTTTACAAACGCATACAAAACACACCTTACTGCTTTGTAATGGTGTCAGTCATTATTGTGTTGTGTGATTTTGTGTATGAGAGTGTTCTTTGAATAGGAAATGATTGTGATCATGATTATGTTAGCCACTGTAACTGAAAGGAGCAGAGAATACTTTAGCACCAAAGCATCATGCAGTGCATTCACTACTGTTCACACGTTTGGGGTCAGAATTTTTTTTTTATATTTATAAATTCATACTTTTATTCAGCAAAGACACATTAAATTGATCAAAAGTGACAATGAAGACATTTTTTCAAATAAATTTTACATTTAGTTTTCTATTGATCAAAGGATCCTGAAAATGTAGAACAGTTTCCACAAAAACATTAAGCAGCACAACGGTTTCAACACTGATAATAAAAAGAAATGTTTCTTAAGCAGTTAAAGTCTATAACTGAAACTGAAGACTGGAGTAAAAATATTTTAAAGTATATTAAAATAGAAAACAGTCATTTTAAATAGTAAATTGTATTTTTGATCAAATAAATGCAGCCTTGGTGAAAATAAGACCCATTAAAAAATTAAATAAAAAGAAATGTTTCTTAAGCAGTTAAAGTCTATAACTGAAACTGAAGACTGGAGTAAAAAATATTTTAAAGTATATTAAAATAGAAAACAGTCATTTTAAATAGTAAATTGTATTTTTGATCAAATAAATGCAGACTTGGTGAAAATAAGACCCATTAAAAAATTTTAAAAATCTTACGGACCCCAAACTTTTGAATGGTATTGTATGTGTAAGTAAAGTGTGAAGGTTCTGGGACCTGAGGGAAATTTCTTGAAACTATGAACTTTACTCCAAGGGGTGCCAGAGTGTGAAACACGAGTGGCAGGAGTCGAGACAATACGGTCTAAAAAACACACAAATAAAATAAAATACAACATTCATTCATACAAACGATAAATGTAAATGATTTCTTCAAAACTGCACTGATTTTGAAAGTTGTTTGCTCTCCTCTTGGAGGCTTTCCAGCTGCAGTTTTAAGACTGATTGATTGACACATGGCATGACAAGATGACAAAATGACTTAATGAGGTCCCTGGCTGTCAGCAGCATGAAATACCTTCAGGGGCATCACTGTCCTCTGGTGTCTCTGTGGCAGCAGAAGACTGTGTTTCAGGAGATTCAGAGCAAAGTCTGTGCTCAAAACTGAATTCTGGGAGTCTGGGGGCCTGGGGGCGTGTCTTTCTTGCCGGGTTCATGAAGTAGCAATAAGCACAACGGAATGCTGTAACATAAAACATCACACATGAGTATCAAAATAAAACCCTAAAAGAAGGAAGTATCCTCGGACTCAAAAACTTCACAGTTCTATACTGTGCTCTGACAGGTTCTTACCTGCATACTCAAATTCCTCCTTCAAAGCCATACCATTGTGGGAAAAACACTGCTGGCAAATCAATGCATATCTGAAAGTATAAGAATAAATGGGAGGAGTGCAGGAGACAAATAATTGTCTCATGTACTGACATAATTCTGGCCAGTGCAGTGTTCAATGTGTTTCTCTTAACTTGTATGTCAAGCTGGTTGTATGTTATACCAGTGTAATACCTGTTCTGAGGTCCATCTCCCACCAAATACTCAATGACTCTGTCCACAGCGCTGCGCTCTTGTGGAAGGATGGGTCGAGCAAGAGGTGGACCAGGAGGACGCATTCCTAAATGATCAAAAGCTTAATCAACACTTCATCATTACACAAATCAGGAAAATGACATGCTAGGACTTCACAATAATGCTAATGACATCAACTGTGAAACCCATAAAGTTCAGTTTGAATTTAAGCCCCAGAAAATGTTGATTTAGTGAGGAATGCACTAATCCTTGAGTAAGAAGCTAGTCAGGAATTTTATACAGGCTTAAACTGTGTGCATGCCTTTATCCACACTTAAAGGGATAGCTCACCTAAAAATGTAAATTCTAATTCATCCTTATGTCATTCCAAACCTGTATGACTTTCTTTCTTCTGTGGAACATAAAATATGACATTTTAATAAACGTCTCAGTGTTCCATACAATAGAAGACAATGGTTATCATCATTCTTCAAAATATCTTTCATGTTCTGCAGAAGACCGAACATCATACAGATTTGGAATGACATGAGGGTGAGTACATGATGACAGAATTATTATTTTAAGCAAACTAAAAAGGAGTATAACAGAATGCAATACGTGTGATATAATACATAATACAGATGTAATAACATCAACTGTAATACACTAAGCAAGCCTAATAGAATGTCATTATCCATGAATAAAACATAGGACTCACAGTGCAGGAAAGGCCAGCAGAGGCAGGGCAGTGATGAGCCGAGCGCTCCACTGCTCAGGAAAGTACAGGTAATACACACACAGACACGTGATCAGGTACAGAGCAGATGAGTAGTAGAGAAGTCGGCCCACCCACAATTTCAGCAAACGCTGGTTCTTTGCACGAAACTCTTCAAGGTCCTTAGTGTCCTGTGGATTCATATCGCAACATTGTACGATCATTACCAATGTCATTACGTTAAATGTTGTAAAAATGCTTTGTGAGGTAACCTAAAAATGCTTCATTTGATAACATCTAATTTAACCCTATAAAGTCTAGGATCTCTCAATTATCAACATGATCAAACTGAAAAACTTGTTGTACACTATCTACTGCATGCCTTCTGTCTGACTGATTCACACTTTTTTAGAGAGTAAATGGCCTTTTAGTTTTAATCTAAAAATGTCTACCTTGTGGTCTGTTTGCTGTGAGTAAAGTAAATGTAAAAATAACTATTTATTTTGTTATTAACATTTCAAGACTAACATTTACTGGACTGAAAAAACTGGTTATCTTTTAAAAAAAATCATGTTAAATCATGTTGTTTCATGCTGAAACGGGCTTATGATGAACATTTATTCGTGCATCTCTCAACCACCGTTGTATTGCATTGCAATGTTTTTAATTACATAGCTTTGATCAGAAAACTAATATTTATAATTCTTCTAAGACATTAGTGGAAGACATAGAGTGATAACTGATCATTTAAATGCATTTCATGCCAGTGGTCTGTAATACTGTCTCACTGATTTACACTATAAGCCGAATTTAATTTTCCTTCCACATAAATAACAACGTGCACCAAATTGAATAAAACTGATGTTTTTTTCCTCCTTGAATAAGAGCAGCATATTCTCAACATTTCATACTACATGGCCATAAAATCTTGATATATCAAATTTGATACAAAACATAAAACACATATTCATTTTTTTCCTTTATTTTCACTAATAAGTTTCACTAAATTGTTCCATTAAAAAAATGTTTTTCTGACTATTATTTGATATGCTTCACAGGGTTAATTGGTTTTATTAAAGAATTTAAATTATTAATTAACATGACTGATTCTGAATCTGACTACATTAGATTACACTAACTAACGTCATATTTAAGGTCAGGTCGGGTAGAAATGACGCCTCAAAGCAAGTTATAATGTTTGTTTACATGGTGGCATGAATAACAGATTTGTCACCATGTGTCCTGTTACAGCATTCCATTACAAACCTATGCACAACATAAATCTGAGAGACATTGAACCTGACAATGGAGAACATAAATAATGAATGCCGGATATAAGCTCTGTTAGTTACAGTTGAATGTACAGTGGAAATTAAACACAAAGCCCTCTGGAATTGCAAAGTGTATTCCTACAGCTCACTCTAAACCAAAGCAGTGACCACTACTGGACAGTTAAGGTCAACCGCAGCAGCCCGGCGAACAGATGGTCCCGTCAATACAGTCTCCAGATAGATAGAGACTTCAGGAGGCGAGCCAGGCATGAGTAAAGCAAGGAAATGCAGCCAGTACAAGGGTTCAGAATCAGATGATGACATACAGCTCTGTGATGTGTGATAAGGTCACAACGGCTGAAAGGAGTCTGTGGGGTTTGAAAGGGCAGGACAACAGTGGGGAACATACCTTATCCAGTGCCTCTAGAAGTTCCACTGTGGAAGCTTTAGTCTGTTGGAGCATAACAATTACATTATTGTTTATAGTATGGGTAATTCAAAGATGTCATGTGTACTGTATGAATGCAGTATCCTCTAGACACTCGTGTATAAACCTATGCTTATTTACTGTTGTGGGGAAATGCAATTACACGTAAAATTATCATTTAAAAGATATATAAACTGTATACTTTACTACAACTGTCAGGACGTATTACGATGAATGCTGCATAAAAAAAATGTTCTATACAGAGATACCCTGTGTCTCTTTCGCGCACGCACACACACACACACACGCTCACACATCAAAGTAACAAGCCTTTTAGGAAAATGTAATATTGTATAATATTATAAATTGTTCGTATTTTAACACCCATGCACAAATACATTTAGTCTCTCTCAACTGCACCACACACACACACACACACACACACACAGATTTGTACCTTAAGGTTATCGTATTGCCATTTTTTGTAATACCATGCTATAAATGAAAGACAATGATAGTAATTATAATTTTTTTAATTACAAGTCATGCGTACAGACCCATTCCCAAGAGGGAATTTCTGATTTTTAATGGGATAAGGGATTTTTTTTTTTACCATAAAATTATAGAAGATCCCTGATTAACTTAGCTACAAAGAGCAGTCCAGATAATGTGCAGAGATACTTTAATGCTGCATATTTCCGGACATATCGCATATCTTTTGAGCCAATTTCAGGCGTTTCTGTTTTCTTCATTTGTTCGTTTTTGTAGATTGTAACTGGTTAGCTGGCAACGCCACTGTGGGGTAGAAAATCCGCGGTTTCTAAGCTCAAAAGTTGATTTACAGCTCAGGTTGTAAAACGGTTTTTACGAGCTTAGCGCGTCCGGCATTGGGTATCACAGAAGAGACGCGCTAAGGGCTCGCGGTAATATTGGCCCCTTCTCTTTCCTTCCCACGCGCTCTGTTGCACAGGAAAGCCCAGTACGAGGACGTCTGTCTGCATTTCTGTCTGTTTTATCATGTGTGCCGTATATTTTATTTGTTTTTTTCTTTTAAATATATTATTTTAATTTTTTGTCTTCCTTTTTAGTTTACTCTTTTCTTTTTCTTTCTCTTTTAAATATCGTCTGTTTACTTTAATACAGGGAAATTTATTTTAAATAGGGCGTTTTTGCATCAAATGGTAAGTGCAGCTGCAAAATCAAGCTTAATGCTTTTTTCCTCTTGAAACTATTTATTTATTTTTTTTAAATACTTTTTCTGATCAATCAGTCGCTTTATCAATAATGATCAAAAGTGATTTTTTTTGATAGTCTGGTCATCCTGTGTCTTTTTAATGCTGACGGCAATTTACATTGTTGAGTGAGATAAATAGTAAATGTAAAAATTTAAGACAGAAAGACAAGTTTGAGATAAGGTCAGATGAGTCGAAGTGTGTTGTGCATTTGTGTTCTGTGAGTAAAACTGAATTTATTATTCTGGTTTCTTTGTTAACGAATCAGTTTAAATTTGAAAGCGAGGGGGTTATTTTAATTTACTACCTACTGCATTGCGGCGAGAGAGGGAGAGAGGAAGAGAGAGGGAGAGAGAGAGAGAGAGAGAGAGAGAGAGAGAGAGAGAGAGAGAGAGAGAGAGACCATGAAAGAAATTAGATTTTCTAAGATAGCTGATTTTTTTTGGTTAGGGTATATGATTACAATAGGCACCAATTTTATTTTGGATTAGAAAATAGAAAATCTGAAATTAACAACATCAAATTCACACTGAGGAAAAAAAGTATATTCATTAAATACCTCAAAGTAGCATTTTTGAGAAACAATTGATTTATATGCTTTAACATGATCGAAATATTTGATAAAATAGTATTTTAGGTATATCATTCCTCTTATGTTTGAAATGACTTTGCTTTAAAAAGGATTTTCTTGTTTACAGGGTGTTTTCAGTTTTCGTGTGCAAATATCATTATCAACGCCTTATTTCTTTCTTTATTGGACCGTGGAAACGTTGTGCTCTTAAGCTTCTTTAGGTCGTTCCATTTCTGAATATTCATTTGGAATCTTTGTTCCGTCGTCTATATATACCCTGTAGAACCGAATGTGTGTTCACACAGCACATTCACAGATTCGGTTTTAGGGGAGTATATGGACGATGCAAAAACATCTGCTTTCATGATAAAACCACACTGCATTTGCTGAATGCATAAACGACTCAACCACTTAAAAAAATATGTTTCGTTTAGCTTACAAACGGTTAAGATTAAAACAGCTGTTTAATAGAGTTTTTACATCTTTTTTATTTTATTTATGTATTTATTTGTTTTTTATTGCCGTTCAAATATTCAGCTATTAAGGTTAAAATACTAATATGTCGTGATTTTGTCTAACATCCAATAATATCCTAAATAATTTGAATATTACCAAGTATTTAGTGCGTGTTTGTATTGAATTGTGTTTCTTCAGCTCTCCTTTCTTCCTTTTAGAGAACAGGGTAAGATGCCCCGACCTCTGCTCAAGCCTGGAAAAAAATCCTACAGCACCTCAATAAAATACATGCACTTTCTGAAAAGTGACTTGAATATATTTATAAATGTTCTAAATTTATAATGGTCTGTAATAAAAAGACAGTGTACAAATGTGTCCTTTTTTGTTTGTAAATAAATACAATACAATAACATAAATATATATATAGGCTATATATATATGAATATATAGATAGATAGATAATGTATATACAGACCCGGCGCCAGACACAAATTCATTGTTTCAGGGGGGCACAAATGAGATAAACCTCATTGCAATGCATAATATCATTAATTATGAATTAAATGGACAAAATATATATATATTATACACATACACACATATACACACACACACACACGCACAAAGAAAAACAAGTAGATAGAATAGAAAAAAATAGAAAGCTAGTGTTTTTTTTGTTTTGTTTTTTAAATAAAAAAATTAAAAATAAGATAAATATAGATAAAGTAGAATTAAAAAAAAAAAAAATATATATATAGGCTATATATATATGAATATATAGATAGATAGATAATGTATATACAGACCCGGCGCCAGACACAAATTCATTTTTTCAGGGGGGCACAAATGAGATCAACCTCATTGCAATGCATAATATCATTAATTATGAATTAAATGGACAAAAAACGAGGAAGAATTGACGTACCACTCCATTGACAACAGAGTCAATACAACAGAGTCGTAAAGATTAGACCTAGCCTACTGAAGCAGTCTAAACACACGTCGCAGGGCTCGACATCAGCGCTTGTCCTGCTTATCCGGGACAAGTGGATTTTTTAAAAGGCCAAGTGAAAGATCATTTTTAATAAAATAGTTAAAACAAAGATCACAGCAGAACCATAACGCGTCAGTCTCACAGCAACACTCAACCGTGTTTTCATTACTGAATGATTCAGCGTTTTGAACGAATCGGTTGAGTCAAAGATTCAATGACCCATTCTAAACAACTGCCTCATTCTTGATGAATCAGCCGTTTGAGCGAATCGTTTGAATGAACGACTCAATGACTCGCTTAATAAGACCGCTCATCACCTGCCGTCACCTACTGGCGGTTTAGTTTGTTTAAAAGTGTCATTCTTTCCAACATTTCTTATTTGTATATTAAAAATATTAAAAATATTTAAAACAATCTCATAACATTATTTAATGTAAATTATTTAGTGTAAATTCTTCAATTTGATTTGTAACAGCCCTATAGTGTCTTATTCTAATTTAATTTATTGATCAAAATTAAGAATTTAAAATGAAAGATGAAGCATATATTTAAAAAGGAGAGAATGCCCTTTATAAAGGTGAAACTATCACAGATATGCATATTTAAATATGTCAAAGCTGATTGAACTCTGATGAGAATATTACTTCATAATCAATTATATACAACACAATTGTCACAATGTCAAGCCCTGACACATTTTATTTATGTATTCATTGTTACAACCTATATCTTTGTGTTACATTTTGTTTTTTAAAAGGCAGGGACTTTATAAAATAGTCAAATATAAGCAGATCACCACTCCAACAAGTTTAAACAAATAATAATAAAAAA